GTTTGTTTTGACATTTTATATGAGATATTTCGGATACTGAAATGATAACTGTGGGTTGAAATATGGCGCTGTTTATTTTGACATTTTATATGAGATATTTCGGATACTGAAATGATAACTGTGGGTTGAAATATGCTGATTTTGTGAACATATTAGAGGAGACATTTCATATACTAAAAAGATCATAACAATACAAAATCAATATGTGAAATTATACATATAAAAAACAATGAGATGTAGAAAACAATGCTGGAACAGCCTCAGTTTTCCCACAAACAGAACATAACATGTACATAATAATCCCTTTTTTTTTTAAATGTATATATTTCTATTGCATAAGATCACAACGAGAAATAAATGAGTTTTACTATTATCTGACGTAAGTCTGACAAAGCCGCATTTTTGCAGATGGTTCAGAGCCAAGGTGGTGTAGCTGCTAGGTGCTGACGCTAACCACATCACCCAGCCAGGGCCGATTGGTTAAAAAAAAATACGAGTCTAGCCACAAATGCCCAATGCACCACTTGTGTGTAAAGGGACTTTTACTTGTTTGTTTTACATAACCCATCACTCTGTGACCACTGAAGGTTAAAAACTTCATATGGACTTTAAAAAAAGCCCATTTCTTCACAAAACCCTGTCCTCTAGAAGCTATTTTAAGTTTTTTTTAAATTAACACATCTAAGCATTCTGAGCATTGCGCAGGTGCGATCAGTATTCAATCCGATATATAGGCATAACGAGGATTGACCAATGCTGTTCGGCAAAAATTTAGGCTAATCGTGAAATTGCCTTCTGCGGCAAAAGGGTTAACAGTGCACAAGTGTGGGGTGGGGGGGTCTCTTGTTCTTAACAAACAAAAGATTTAAACCAGTTTCTGACGTTGTTCAACCACTGTTGGTTTCTTACGTTGTTCAACCAGTTTGTTTCTTACGCTGTTCAACCAGTTTGTTTCTTATTGTTTAACCACTGTTTCTTACGTTGTTCAACCACTGTTTGTTTATCATACTGTTCAACGACTGTTTGTTTCTTACGCTGTTCAACCAGTTTGTTTCTTATTGTTCAACCAAGTTTGCTTCTTACGTTGTTAAACCACTGTTTGTTTATCATACTGTTCAACCACTGTTTGTTTCTTATTGTTCAACCAGTTTGTTTCTTATTGTTCAACCAGTTTGTTTCTTACATTGTTCAACCACTGTTTGTTTCTTATGCTGTTCAACCACTGTTTGTTTCTTATGCTGTTCAACCACTGTTTGTTTCTTACGCTGTTCACTGTATTCCCTGTGTGGGTGTTCTGGGGCCCCCTATTTTGCGGTTTAAAAAAATGAATTCACACAACTGCCCCTTAACTAGCTTATAGTTAAAGGCAACCAATTTGGGGTTTGTTGAAACTGGAAGCTAAAAGGTGCAGCTGTCTCAGTCTAGCTGTAAACACGCCAAAACATGCCAACTGCCCTTCTAAGGGCCATTGCCGAAAAAGAAGATGATGATGATGACAAAGAAAAGTCACTGTACATATTTTCATGGCAATGTAATGTCTTATTCTATTATCCACAAAAAATATATTTGTTACAATATTAGAAAATTAATCTCTTGAAAATTTCATACAATTTATAAATAACTTAACACATTATCACTTAAAAAAAAGGTCAGCTTTGCCTTTTTGTGTGTCAATGTGATTAGTGATAGCTGAAAAATCATGACCATCATGCATAGGGCAATTATTTTAAAAATATATTAATAAATTATTTGGGTGTATGTGTTAAATAACAAATATCAATGAAGACAAGTCAAGCAAAACTGTAAAAAAAAAAAAAAACAGGACAATAAAATATCAACAGAGCCTTAATCTTACATTGACTGATTAACAATGGCTAGGTGAAAGTGTGAGAACTGTCCTTAGACAAAACTTGTTACAACAGCGGAAATAATAATGTATCATTTCATATGTAGATAGACAGAGCCAATTACATAGGATAACATTTGTTTTTTTTTTAAAAGTAACTCAAATAATAGAAAAGAATCCTTTGTCAGGCTATTTTTTGTATCAAACATTTTTACTTAATATAACTTAGTATTTTATAGTACTAAGTATACTTTATAAAGCATCTTTATGCTTGATTGAAACCAAAGATCTTCATGCCAGCAGTATAGCAACTGTGCTACGATGGCCCCCAAAAGAAAGAAAACCACACAAATTAATGACAAAGTGGGTTACAATTATCTCTGAGCTGAAGATATGTATAATAAAATTTGCGGCACTCCCTTGAAAATATGAAGGAAGAATTTCATATGTACATTTTTTAAAATTAATATTTTCCATTCGAGGAAACTATTTGCATTTAATGACTATCATGTGAGAACTGTACGCAGAACAAATAATTGTAGCCTAAGTACAAACTGATAAGGTACAGGATCCAGGGGCTTTAGAATAATTCTCCCTGTGTGGGTTCTGGAGCCCCATTGTGGGGGAAGCAAGAATAGACCCACTGCCTCCTCAACATGCCTGTCGTAAAAGTCGACCAATCAGGAACATGTTTCAAAGTCAGAGTGCATCTGCCCAAGAGGCAAGGAACCAAGAGTCCTCATACAAATAAGCCAGATTTTTAAACGAATGTATAAGCAACAACCAGGTTCTGGAACAAGAGTCCAGAGATGAACAAACTAAAACTCTCCACTCGAATTAACAGCTAGTGAACACAGAAAAAGAAGTAATAATTTTGATCTAGTAGATTTATTTCAGTGAAGGGGTTAATGTATAATTAATGACTGTGAAGGATAAAGTAATAAACAACTGGGTCAGAAAGAGTTCAAAGTAACATCTAATGATCCATAATCTGTCTGAGAGGCAAGAAACCATTAGTCTGCACACAAGTAAGTCAGATCTGTAAAACAGAACTTAGGGTCTGGAACAAGGCCAAAGTTGAGAAATTACCGAACAACCAGAACTTTCAGAATCAGCTGGAGTTTACTATCAGTGAATGCTAAGCTCTCTATGAGTGGGTGAATATAATAAGTTGTCGGCATGGACAGAGCAAAAAAAAAATATGTATAGCGAACTGGTGAAAGTAGAATCTGCTTGAAAAATAGAGTTAAAGAAATAACCTGCTCGGGTTGGAGGAAGGCAACAATTATTTTTCTACTGCAGCACTCCAATAAAACAGCATTACACCTTTGTCTTTTAGATCAATGAAATTTTATTTAAATATCAACTGACTACCCACAACATGACTCCCAGGTCGACCCAGTCTTGAGTGGGTCCTGGCTGCAGTCCCGGGAAATAAGGGCGGCCGACGTGATGCTACCCACATCACCCATCTTGTGCCGATTGGTCTATAAAAATATAGGTCTAGCCCTATACGCCTAAAGGGACCTTTACTTTAGTACCCACAACTTTATAATGACTGTACTTAACTTTAGTTGCGAAAATAAAAATCTATCTCGCATTAGTCTGATATGTTGCACTACACATTTATGATAGAATCAATAACTGTTGAATGTTGTTTCACATCAAGATGGAGAAAAAATCCTGGTGTTGTACCAAGACAAGAGAAAAAAAAAAGCTTTGCAATAATTGTTAAATTGTCTTAAGCTATTAAGCATCAACATCTTGCGGAAAAACTAACATACAAAACCAAATGAAAATTTTTTAAGCAAACAGAAATTACTTGAAAGACAAGATATGAAGATAAAGACAAACAAATAATTCACTTTTTAACAGAAATGGGCATGCACTCTCAAGGAAACATTAGAAAACTGTAATCACTGTCTTTCAGATATAGGAATACACTAGGACACTGGTGGAGGCAGTCTGCTCTGCTAACAACATGACTGTAGCATAAACAAATGGCAATGTACCTTCTATTCTCATCAGGCACCAGTTGAGTTGAGTCAAGAATTGACATCACAGCACTCGGGGCATTCCCATGCATGCTCTGTCCTCATATTCAGCAGCCAGCGCAGAGTTTCAATACTGATGGTACTGGTCACAATCTGGTTAAATGTCCGTCTTGCCTTTCCTCTGAATGTAGTCAGCCTGCCAGACCCTCTGGTTACACCCAGGTGCCTCATTCTCTCAAGGCCATAATAAATCTTTCTCTACTGATTCCGTTGCTTGTTCCCAAAAGGCCTTGACCACATCGGGGTTAATGTTTTATAGTGTATCAACAATAGATTTATTTTTTCTCAATTTGGTAAAATCATCTACTGTCATCTGTGTCTTTCTTTTTGCTGAGTTCAGAACTGTATTTTGTGATCATTTAGTTATTCTTCAAATGTGGGTTCTATGCTTACATGTTGGCCAAACAAAATAAGAGACCCACATGTCATAACAGGTGACTAATTAAGGGTTTCTTGAAACCGATGTGTTGGGCCAAAAGGCACAGATATTCCAGCCTAGCTTAAAACCACAATACAATGTGTCAACTCTCCTTTTAAATGGGAAGGCAGAAGAATTATTCTTTACACCAGTTCAACAGGTCACCCACTCCCCCCACCCACCAATGTGTCTTCTATAGTCTATGCCATGTGGTGTTGGAAAGCATGTCTATCCACAACCTTTTGTCTCATGTACTTGTGCTTTCAATCAAGTCTGACACAGACGACCTTCTATTCTATGATGACAAACTGTTCACCTCCCATTCTGAAGGAAACAAACTTGAATCTATAAAAAATGTATACTAGTGTCTCAACACTGCAATGGAATATAAATGCATAAAGGTTTCATAGATAACCAAATGGTGAAAAGCAAAATGGAAGGAAAATGTTCATTATTATTAAAAGAGAAAAGTGTCAAACTGTTTTCTAGTTGATCCCTTACCTTCTATTCCCACTATTTTAACTTTTTACTCGATGAGAATCAGTAAAATTCATGATTTGTTTTCCGATACCCTTGACAGCCTGAAGGTTTTTTCATCATTTCATATCAATGTAGATATAACCTTCAGACCCAACACAACTGTTACCTTCAAGCTTCTTACAACAAGATCAGACAGATGATGCTAATTGGAGGAGGTTGCCAGGCCAACACTGCTGTCCTCCTGACTGCACTGTCTACAGATGTCACCTAACACTGTCAACCACTCAACTTTCTCCTGCTCATCTTTCATTTGAAAGGTCAAAGTCTTCCCCTTTTTACTGCGAATAACCAGACGGAAGCGAGGAGTTCTTGCTTCTGTTCCTTCTATGGCACCACTGCTGTTCCCTGAAATGAAAACATGTTCACACTTTTAGGGAGAAAAACCAACATTCTTTCTCATTTATCTTTCATTATTTGCATCTTCAAATGGCAGCACTGGGAAAAATTTTTAACTGGGTAGTTCTTTCTTTCTTCTTTACATTAACCGGCTGTAAACTCCAGCAGAAAGTTCTGGCTGTTTGTTGACTTCTGGACTGTAGTCCTGTTCCAGAAATTGAGTGTTGCATGCACACCTCTTTTACAGATCTGATTCATGTATATGCAGACAGTTTGTTCCTAGCCTCTCATGCAGATGCACTTCGACCTCAAAGGAAGCTCCCAATTAGTGGACTCTTGCGACAGGCTTGTTGGGTAGGCAGCAGGTCTATTCTTATTTTTCAATATAGTAGGGCCCCGGAACCTACACAAGGAATTGAGTAATTTAGAATGCCTATCATCTGTCCAACCACACACCTTTATATCGAAAACTGTAAGCATCATGTGCTGTTCATTTCCTAAAACATTTGCATACCTGGAGAAAATATTAAAAGGATGCTAACTACCCATGATGCTCTTTACAGGGCTCACCAGTCTCCGCCTATCTCAACATGCTCTATGATTTGGTTACAATTACGACATGTGTGTACAGCTGACTCTCAGTCTAGAAACAAAGAGCTCACAAACTGATATAGAAAGATGGAAGACTATCACAGTCTGGTTAAAATATTAAATAGGATAAGGTCAAGAAGCACTTATAGAACCATTATAGAACCAAACTGCAATCAGAGCATGTGGGCCATCAAACAGATGATTCATATTACCAACCTAGCTAAGGTGAACAAGCAGCAAGCAATCTTCAGGCTCCACACAGGACTAACAAACTGAACTACTACTTGTTAGATGAGCTCAAGATTGCAGACACTGGTGAATGCATCTATGGAATTTGCAACAAGATGGCAAACAACTGCTAAACGAGAGCCTAAAATATGCAGAAAAGACAAAATTATTCTTTCAAACATTCCCTCCAGTTAGGGCCAAACTTTAAGGAAACAAACTCTGGTTCAGTTATTTTCTTGAAATAATCAGGGCTATCTCTGAGGCGAGCCCGGCTCTCTAGCAAAGTTGGTTAAACCGGACTTTCGCGGCGGCCGGGTGACGAACTCCTTGTGGTCCGGGTTCACTCCCGGGGTAGGCAGAAAAGCCACATTTCTCCCAGATTAACGGTACCTATAATGGAATCAAGGCCGAAGGGTAGCGATATCCATAGTACCGAGCCAAAGGGTTTACAACTCATGGTTTCTGGATACGTTAAAAAAAAAAAAAAAAAATCTCTAAGGCGAAGAAGGAGGGGAAAAAGATGATGGAGCAGAAGAATAAATACTGATATTGTTTCATAAACCCTCTATATAACAGAAGACTAGGTTCTGCCAGATGACGGCTTCCAGAAATACAAACCTTTGGTGCCTGATGGAGGTTTTATAATTTCTATGACTTTGCATGTGTTCAGATGTATTGTTTTCACTGGAAATTTATCATCAATGCTCTGAAAGAAACAAGGACGTACATCATTATTTTGTACAGACAATTTGTACAGACAATTTGCACAGACAGGGGCTGCGTGGTCTCGAGGCATGGCATTTCCCTTGAGTACTGGAGGTCCCCACCCCAGTGAAGGCTGGGGTTTTTTTTTTTTGCATGGACTTCTAGTAATTTTCCCTGGCCTCTGGGTAATAAGATTGAACGCCTGTGTGCATTGTTGTGCAGATGGAAATCAAAAAGAGTAGCCTAACAGCGCTGTCCAGGAAAAATGTGGATTTTTATCTACCAAAGGTATTTTTAGGATCCATGCCGGTGCTGTGGAGTTCGTGCACTGCGCTGAGATGCTTCAGACAGGCCTAATCAGAAGTAGAATGGAGCACTTATGGTTACCCTTTCTGCCATGATGTTGATCCATTGGCTAAACCTAAACAGACAATTTATAAAGATAATTTATAAAGACAATTCAACACATAAGTAATAAATAAATGAATTAAGAACTGACTTCACTCAGGGCATTCCCATTTACGCTCCGTCTATTTCCCTGTTAGCCAAAGAAAAGTTTCTATACTGATAGTGGCAGCTTTAACCTGATTAAAGTACACCTGTCTTTTCTTCAGGATGTTTTTAAAAAAACAAAACACCTAGACACTACTTACTTCCTACTAAATCATTCTTTTGAAGTATGCAGCATATTCTGTCTACTCAGCTGCACTTTCCACTGGATCCTAGACTGTCCCTACGACATCCGCCTTATACTGGAGAAGGTATCAAGCTCAATGCGCACACTCTGTTGCTGCTTCAGCGATAATTCATTAAATATTCCAGAGAGGAAAAAAGGTTATAAAACAGCTTCTTCTTTCTTGTGTACAAGTTCCTGCCCATCTGGATTGGTTTTTCTCTGCAGCTGAGAGTGTTGCACAAACTACAAACTCTGGAGTTCCAGAAATGACATTTAGTCATTTCTGAGAAAAACTGCATTTGAAAGAGAACAGTGAATGCAGTCAGTCCAAAAACAAAACACTCATGACCTTCAAAGGCTGATTACTTTACCATGGAGATTTTCAAAAGAATGAACTTGATTGACTGCACATAGATCAGTCTCTCTCTACAACATACAGTGACTAGCTGTGCCAATTTGTTATTGGGCGATGATTCTCTCCCAAGGTGGTGTTCTTTTCCAGTCACTCTGACTTTTAACCAGAATGCTTTCACACAAGCTAAAGATGATTCATTTAATTCTCATGCAACTCTCTCACAGTGATCATGTGGACTCAATTCACTGATCAGCAATCTAAAATATGCCATCTTTTAGTTACAAGGTGGCTACAGATTATTAACCTCTGAGCAGGAATTCAATCTACTTACTACCTACTCACTTTTCCAGATGATGTTTAATCAAATCATTTAGTTTGATTGTTGGAACAAACCAAAAATAAATACACAGGCTTATAGAGAGGTGGCATTAAAAGGCAGCCAAGTAAAGAAAATAATATGACAATTTTATAGTTCAGCTACATTTGAAGAATGTACTTTTTTTTAAAAACATACTGGAGAAAAAAGTTAAAGGAAAGGCGAGCAAGAAGCACACAGTGGTTTAAGTTGAAAGGTAACATAAAATAAAGAATGTAGAGTAGTCCAGTGCCTGACTGCGTTGTCATTTCTGACAACAGCAGTATGCATTTAATGTGTACGCATGCTACTGGCTTTGCTGAAACTGCAGTCTTGTTTCTGATTTCATTTCCATAAGGGATCTGCGATGGACAGTCTGTGTAGGTTCCGTTGGTATAGGAGCACTGATAAAGTAACTTGTCTGTTGTGGAGCTGGAACAGTAACTACCAGATTACAAGAGAGAACAAGGGCTAACTTTCATTGTGCAGACAGTATCGGTTATGGATTTACTGATGGACTCATGACAAATTATTATTTTCTTTAAATATGCAACTTACGGCAGCAAACTTTGCCCGGTAGTACTGTAATGACGGTGGCGTTTCCCTGGCTATAACCTTTTTCACTTTCCAACCTTTACGAATATTTCTCTGGAAAGAAACAAAAAGGAGTCTCCAATGAAACATGAATATGAACTGATACATTTAGGACTGATACTAGAGACAACATTGCAGACATAGATAATCTATTTCAAGTGAACAAAAGAAGAAGAAGAAGAAGAAGAAGAAGACAATGATTAAGACTGATATGATGCAAACAGCAATATTAATAAACTCATTTAATACAACAGGTTGCTGACACAGCCAAACTTTATGAAGTAGGATAAAGAATTAAAAATAAGTGACAACTCATCCCCATTTCTGCAAATATCGTCAAAGAAAGTCATCATTATCATCTTTATGTGTCATGCTGATATGCACAGGCAACCACTGTTTACAGTAAACTTGCACTTTTCACAATAAATGTGCCAACTTCACAAGTTTTCAAGTGATTTTTCTCATAATTGATTGAACACCCAATAATTTTCTGCCTACATCTAAATTTCTCTAGCAGTTTTTGTAGTGATTATTAAATATTATCTTCACAGCATTCCGGAGGGATCCATAGTGCTCAGATCTCCTTCTCAAAAGATTCACAAGTGTAAAATGACTGAAGACGCCTGTTCTGCGTTGGTTAATGAAATTACTTGTTCCCTTGGTGAACTGTTCATTTCATGCAGCTCCAGACTGCATCCTCAAGTCCATCAGTCTAGACATGGATACAGAGTCATGCCCTTTGGTGTGCTCATCGTCACTGTGAGCGCTGGACATGACACTGATAATATCACTTCTGTCCAGTACTGGACCAGCCATAGCAACCGCAGTGTCAGCAAGATCCATGATGTGCCACGTTTAAGTCTATTACTCTTTTGCTTTAATAATTCTTCATGAAGCGAGTGTTTAGGGTCTGACTTCACTTTGAGGAAAGCAACGGTCCTGGATAGCTTGATTTTGTTTTCCATTGTGGGAAAATTCAAGAGGTATCAGGATTTACAGGAGGCGTCTTTAGTGCATCCAAGAATAATACTCACTGCCTCGTTTTAAACTTTTTTCCAGTCTGTTCATCTGTGTGGTGCTGAGTGTCATGATGGCCAGTGCATATTCAATGGTGGAGAGAACACGATACGATATAACATTACAAGTAGCCGCTGCTCAAAGTTTGCAGCTCCCATAATTTTTTTAGAGACCTTTCTTGGCTGTGGCTATAATGTGGTCTATGTGTTTTTTAAACGTCAAACCTCTATCAAATGTTATACCCAGGAGCTTTTGCAGTGTAGTGGTCAAGCCTATCTTGCATTTTGAAGGTCAAGTTGCATTTCCCAGGTGTGTTGTTCACAGCTGCAGTTTTATGGAGATCTTAGAGGGTCAGCGCTGAAGCTATGTAGTTCATGCTTTTTGTGACACTCTGGACAGGTGGCTGGCCATTCAGCGGTGACCAAGATTCACCCGATGCAATAAAGTCAATCCCCCTGATTATAAGATTTGACATTTATGTGAATTAGACTAATTAATTTAGCTTTCAATAATTTCTGATACTGAGGGTGGACATTGCACATTCCAAATGTTTTCCACACTATTAGATCTACAATTTTAACTATCATCATCATCATGTGTTATGACAATAAGCATGGATGAGCAGTTCACCATCTCCCCCATGAATTCCAGATCAGATTCTGCCAAGAGGTCAAGTAATTTTGCTATTTATCTTTCTCTTGTTCCATTCTTTCTCAGCCTTCTGAGCCCTTAGGGTTCAATTCTGCAGATATCACCCACCCCCTACCTTTTCCATTCATCTCTGTGATTCTCCTTCTTCCAGTTGGTGACTCCCAAGTGTTGTAGGTCTGACCATCTTCTTGGTTTGGCTTATAGTGCTAAACCTATATTTTTAAAGACCAATTGGTATACATTGGGTGATGTGGTAAACATTTTTATTTCCCGGAACATAACCTTTTAAGCTGGGTCAACCTTGCAGCTATTTAAATCTTGAAAACATCTGCCTTAATGCCGGTAGGAGAGCATCTAGCCACTAAGCTACAATGGCTCTTCAAGTTATAGTATGTAGTTCAGTTAAACTGTACCCTTTTTGCCAAAAAAGCTTCCTTCACAACTTTCCCTTTCTTCGTCTTTGGCTCAGTTTTATCACAGATATCATCATCATCTTCAGAAGAGCTGGAGTCGCTATCTGTGCTATCATAGAAACTGTTTCTTGTTGCTCCAAGGTTAATGGAAGTCTGGGGAATTGCACAGCAAACAAGTATTGTGTGAACAGTGACAAGTGTAATCTGGGAGGAAAAAACATTCAAACTAAGTTTAATTTTTAAAAAAGACAAAGGTCACTTTCAGGCCTCTGATGTATTAGGCACATGGTGCCAGATAATGGTTCTGTGCTACAGGGAGGATGAACTTCATCTATGGCCCTGAACTGGAACTCTTCTCAACAGGAGATGGGGGGTCTTGCTAGTCACTCTTGCCAACACCATGGCTGTAGTAGGTGGTGCTTTGCTGAGAGGAAAAAACTGTCACTTTCAACCACCATCCCCGAGAAAAAGAAGGTAGGGGGTGGCTTTAGGTTATATATGTGACTAAGTTATGTGCCCCATATAAAAGGGCTTAGCACTGCATGCCACCAACAGCCCTGAAAAGGACTACTGCAGTGCTGAATGTTGAATTCACCATGTTGAATTAAGAATCCACATCACAGCACTTGTGACATCCCATAAATGCTCAGTCCCCATCTTCAGGAGCAAGCCAAGTGTTCCAATTCTGATGGTACCAGTAAGCGTCTGATTGTAAATCCTTCTCATCTTTTCCCTGAGTGTTGAGACTTGGCCAGATCCCCTGGTAACTCCTCACAGTGCCATTTTCCTTAGACCGTAATGATCTATCTGCGCCTCTGCACTGTTAACTTGCTTCCAAAGAGCCCTCATAATATCTAACTTGTCATAGATCAATTCACCCCCAAGTGGTGCAGAGCAAGCCAGTCTATCTGCCTGCTCATTTCCCAACACACTGGCATACCTGGAAAGAATATCCAAAGGATGGTAACTACCTAGGACCTCTGAAATGATCACCTGAAGATGGAATCAAACACAGAGCACACACCCTTTAGCTCCTGTAATCAAACAAGACAGACCCAAATGCTGTCCTGACCGGCGACAAGGTCGTCTAGCAGAGAGCCAATGGGTAACCCGATCGCTGATGCAACAAGGTTGTGATTCCCCTCACTCCTTTTATATAGTACAACGTAACATAACTGCCTGAAAAGATAGAAAAGTGCTAACAACAAAGCAAGACCCATATCGTCATAGATCAACCGGCACTGATGGGTAATGTAGTCAACAGGACACCGGCCACCTTATAAATGGTACCAATTTCAGACTGGGTCTGGCTGGTGCTGATTTAAATCACAGACACTGTTCATTTCAAGATTGGCTACACTGCAGGTTAAACATACGTACAGCTGGTCGGATGTTCACCTAAGCAGGTTTCTTACTGTGTTTAAAAATGACGACTCTGTTCTGTACTAGCTGATGTAGTGCCTCCCAGCAAAGATTTATGCCATGTATGATTGCTGTACATACACCTTTAGATTTTCACCAGTACTCAGTTACTTGTGAGCTGTGCTGACACTCCTGTTTGAACTACTGAATGAGAATGGAGTTCTTACGGACATGTGCAAGGAAAATGATGCTTTAAAAATCAAACCAAATCTAGACTGGATAAGGATAGCTCTAAATGAGAATTGATGTTCCATTCTGTATCTATGCTTTCAACTCACAGCTTTTATTAATTCACTGACTACAACTTTCTTTAGTACATTTTGTAATTGGTGTCATGTTGACCATATCACCCATTCAGTGCTGATTTATTCTTCTTTTTCTCACCAACTGTCATTTCCTGTGAAAACTTCTGGTTGTTCATCCACTTCTGATCTTTAGTCTTGATCCAGAACCTGAGTTCTGCGTGCACATATATTTTACAGATCTGGTTTATTCTTGTGCAAACTATTGGTTCCTCACTTCTCAGGCAGATTCACTCTGACTTCAAAGAAACCATGTTGAATTAGTCCACTCTTATGTCATGCTTGGTAGTGGTCAGTGGGTCTATTCTTGTTTTTCTCTCACATGGGGGGGGGGGGGGTGTGTGTGTGTCCTTATTTAAAGTCAGTTTTTTAATAAAGTAAACAACCCTTTCCACAACAGTGGTGCTTCAACCATTTGATGCTGGGCAATATTTATTCAATAGGTGAATCAATCTCTACCTGGTGGGTGGTACAGTCAACATCACTCTGACCACCTTTACTTCCCAGGACTCTACCTGGTACCCATTTGAACTGCTGACTCATCCATAAAAAACATGAGTTCAACACTCTATGCTTACAGTGCTAAGGCCGATATTTATTTTTGGGTTTAAAAAACAAATTGACCGCTATTCATAGCCAGCTGTTACAAGAATTATACTTACAAATCTATACAGCTTATCAGTATCATTGAATCTGGGACTGTGTCCACTTGTTCCATCTTTCAAGTCTACCTCCTGAACGTGGCCAAGTTTTAATAAAGCCTGACCCATGGCAGCTCCATTTTCTCGATTCCGAACCAGTGACCATCTCAACAACCAGTCAACTATGGTCCTCCCTGAAAATACAGTCTGCTATAGTGTCTGTCTTTGAGATATAAACATTAGACAATAGCTCTCTATCTGCTATGTCTACACTATTAACTATTTTTTTTAATGAAGGTATCTTAATTTAACTATTTTTGTTAAAATAACTAGAACATTTAATGCAAACACAAACAAGCTGAAAAGGGTTCAGTTTAACTGAAATAATAATGTTGTAAATCCTGCAGCATGTAGCGGCTAACAACACAAATTCTGTGTTGATTTATCATTATTCTTTGGCGACACCCTGTTTACCATGCCGTTCTTGCAGTCTGACAATGGTTGTAGATTCAGTTCTCAGTTGGTTCACGCAAATGTCTTAACTCTCTTAGAGCATTCTGTATATCAGACTGGTCCATGGCTTGTCCAGCTTTCACAGTAGCCTTACCTACAAGTCTATCAGCTTGCTCATTTCCTTGTACCCCCACATGTCCTGGCACAAAAATGAAACTAATCCTTGTCAGCCGTGAATTCTGTAGAGCCACCAATCACTGCCTTTGGACCCAGCCCTTCTCTATCTTTCTGAGCATACTCATCGAGTCACTGGGAAAGCATGCTCCAGTGAAAGTCGGTGCCTCTAGCCATGCTACTGCTTTAGTCACAGCCATGACCTATATAGTCAACTACTTGTAGTTACGGCAAAAGCTCCAGAATCTTTCTTCACAACTTTCCCTCCAGCCTGAGCTGTGAAAGTCCACAAGCTTCTAACATGGCAGATTATAGAACCATCTGTGTAAATGACAGCATCACCCTCTAGAGCCTTCTCGAAAATCAAGGCATGAACTTCTGCTTCCACAGCAACCGGACTCCGTTGTCTGCATTTCCTGTCTAGTTGGATGCAAACAGAAAAAGATTTTGTCTGCATTTCCTGTCTAATTGGATGCAAACAGAAAAAGATGTACAGCACTCTGAAGGCACTTGCACCCCCTCCTTGACAGGTTCTATGTCCTTAACTGAACATACCAGTAAAATAATGTCCTCGACTTAACCTATCCATAATTTGCCTCTTTTTAACCTGCTGCCTTTTGTTAATAATAAAATAATGAATGGTGTGGTATATGCAAACTATCACATCTAAGTGCAGCCCACTTATGTCTCCGATAAAAATGTGCAGCCATTCAAGAACTTCACAAACTGATCAATATTTAAAGCCAGCTACAATTTTTTTTTGTTTTATTCAGATAAATATTTAATTTTAGTGCAGAATACAAGTGCAAGAAAATTTAAACTATTTAGACTAATGTTCTAAATAGATGTTTACAAAAGTATGTATCAAAGAAACTATTATTTAAAAAAAAATCTTGCATCAATGAAATCTGTATCACTAACTCCTTACTAAGGAAATATTTACCATCAACAAAGTAAACTGTTGAACACCATCTCTTTGAGTGACCAAAACTCAGTGAGACAAGAAAAACGCTACTGTACGGGTTCTTTTTCCATTCTGTACGGGCTACCAAGTAAACAATTATTCTAGGGGTACAACTGTCAACTAACCAACGACTGGCAGAAAAACGCCGTAACGAAGTCAACCCTTTAAAACTGCTACATTCCAGAAACACGTCGTTGGCAGGCAAATACAAGAATTTTATTAAACAATTCCTCACAGATATAAATGGTGTCACTGAAAGGCATACAGTACAGTCACTATATTAAACGACGGTTCCTCCAATTCGGAGCAATGAGCCTCAACTCCCCGCAAACAGCGGCATCAACTACGGATCCATCTAAGACTGGTTTCCAACCTCGGCCATCAACACATTTCTTGCAACGGTCATCTGTCTGGAATAAATTCCTGTCGGCAAGTGACGTTGTGTCTCTCGTCATACCCTATGTTCATTATCGGTTGTCCGTAGTGTGGATCTTCGGATTGCACACAACAGCTACTCCCTCCGAGACCAGACAAGTGGAACATCTTGTACGGAGGAAAAGAACAGCTTGTGAAAACATGCAAATTCCACTACATGGCATTGGGCCAAAGGGCGAAAGCTCATGCGCCGCTGGATCGATAACAACAACAACAACAACAACAACAAAGTGTATAAATAAAGGAAAGAAGAAACCAACCTGTAAAACAGTTCTTGAAGACTACTCCTCCACGGAGATGGCTGGCAGACTCAATGCCAGCATCTGGGTCTTGAATAGCACCAATAATTTCACTGTTAGAGGTACAACATATTTGTATACACCAATCAGCACTCAATGGATGAAACAGTCAATATCATGCTGGCTGACATTGCTTATGAACCCATGATTTTTTTTCAAAGCCCACTGCTAGAATCAAAAACACTAGAACATATCTGTTCCACTTGATAAGCACTGAATTTTGGGAAACCCCATTTGCATAAAGTAAATATTTGGACATAACTAAAATAAGAAAACACTGTTTTGTGAGCTGTGTATACTTTTCAGTACTTACCTCACATTTGCATGTGTACGAAAGTTCTGAAATGCCATCTGGTCATGAATTACCTGTAGAAAGGACAGTGCATAAGTTAATGCTAGTTAACATGGACACTGCCAAAAACAATATCCTTTACTTTCTTTAAAAAAAAAAAAACATGTCTTCAAGATCAAACAGTTCAGCTACCATCTTTTCTATCAATTTTTCAAGCAAAACATAGGCCCTCGGCCTGCTCATTTTAAAATATTTGCTAGGTCAAAAGTTCAAGTTGAGAGGGTGGATTTCATTTCATTGGCTTTTATCCCATATAGTTTAGCCTTGTCTCTCTCTGAAGAACGGCTAGTCACCTGCTGGGTGTCACACAAAGCACAAACTCCATAGCCCTGGCAACGTTCAATCTCCTTAAGAAGTGCACTCATAAACAAAATGCTGCAGCTATGAAATGAAGCCATGGCCCTCTGAGCATGAGGCAAAAGGCTGGACCCCTTTGTCACAGAGACTCCTGAAGTAGGGTCATGACAGGTAGAATGCTGCTTGTATGTGTAGGGATGAGGCATCTATCTCACAACAACTCTACCCAGTTGTATCTTATAATCATGTATGGTAGGTTACAATGTTACTATTGTCTTCTTGCCTTACAAACTTTGGTAGAGATCTGCACTCATACCAAGAAGCAAATTCATTTGTCCATAGCCCAAAACTTTCAGTGAAAGAAACAGTCTCCCATACAGACTACCTGGCTATCTTTACCAGTCAAAGATAAAAAGTATTTTTAATAGAACATTTTTAAAAATCAAAATAAAATACAACACACTCAAATGATGTGTATGTGAAGTTATGTGTTGGCAGTTGTGATTTACAAGTTGTGAGCATAGTTTCACAATCACAACTGGAGTTTGAAGCCATGTGCATGTCATTTGGTAACAGACTGCGTTGCATTGATTTTTATATGTTGAACAATTGAGAAAGCAATGGCAAATTACCATACAGTAACCAGTCAATGCTGGGGTTGTTTTATGAAGTCCAGAAGAGGTTATGCAGCTAATTTAACTAGTACCAAATGTACCTCAATTACACTACAGCCATAAACTAGATTACCAACCTTCTGAGAAGTACTCAGTGATCTGATGACAGCACCTAAGGCATGTGCCCATCTGTTTCTGTCTTCGGTCCCTCCTGCTTGCAGATAGATCTCTTGTCCATCAGGCACATGCAGCTTCAGAAGGCCCTGCACAAAGACACAAATGTCAACATTTAGAACTCTAAGCACACTACAGAGAGTGGTCACTGTGCTCTTCTGCCAATCAATAGTCCAATTTCTATCTCCAGGACACAATCCTGAAGATCGTGTCAACCTCCTCACAAGAAACAGACTTCTGTGTTTAGACTGTGTACTGGACACAACAGACTCTGCAGCCACATGTACAAGAAATTCAAGACTGGGGATTCAGTGTCTATGTGGACAGGCCCAACAGAATATACTAAACATGTGCTGCAAACAAGCTCTCTACATGCAGAAGGGATTTCCCAGGTTTCCAATGGAAACCAAGCTGTATTGTGGAACAGTAGAAGATATGGTATCCCACGACAGACTTTCTCATCTGAAAACTGCTGGAAGGGAGAACAAAAATAAGAGGAATCTACAGCAAAGGCAGACTATCCCCCCCCCCCCCCCCCCTCTCCTTTCCACCCCAACTGGTGTGGCTCTTGGAAAGCCTCATTACAATGAACATGAAACAATCTGTGTAATGTTAAGGTAAAGAAAGGCAAAGAGTAAGGATAGAGGCCATCCCACCTTGTCTGTCATGGAATGTCTAACACTTGACACCCCACTCGCAGCAGCTGTCATGGGACTACCGTTCATATACATTATTACACAAGTAAATTGTTGTCTGGTGGTAACAGTTGCTGAGTGGCAATCACATATGCATGAAGAACTAAAAACCTGTGGTCCAGGACCAATAGAAGCAGAAATTATGAATTTCATACATAAAGCAGCTGATAAGTGCACTATCATACTAAAGTTGTGCTATCAATGACCGACATGGACAGTCCTAAATACACAGCAACAGCAGGCTACAAGGCAAGAGGTCAATTAAGACAGAGGTAGGTCAAGGGAGTGAAAAAGATGTTACAGAAACACAATACAACATTAATACAAGCTATGCAACTAGCAAAGGACAGGAAACTACAGCAAACTCTCTGTGACGTTTTATGGCAAAAGCAGTAGGACAAGAATAGAAATCAGACTTACATTAGTCAGTACTATGCACAAGTCATCTAAGCAAATTCTCAGGTCTGTGACTTGTCACCTTACAATGTGTCATATGCATTCATTTTTATTCCTACTGCAAACAGGTCACAAAGAAGTATTACTTTTCAGGCAACTACTAAATGTTCAAACATGGTTTTTTCAAAACAAAGACTTAGCAGTTAGATAAATATGATGTCGTGCCAACTCTGTGTGTGTGTATGCCTGCGTACATGTGTGTGTTGGTAAGACGGTCCACGGCTTGTAATTTACACCTATGTTGCAAGCAAAAACATTTATCAACACAAAAAAGATGCAAGGACAAGATCACTGTTGCCACCAGGATGTATCTATCTCAAAAGCCTCAGTACCGTCACTGACTAAGATGGTCAACCCCAGTTGTCTAATTTTGTATAAGTGCTTAAAGCCAGCTACATGTAGCATATTAGCACCCGTTTGCCACAATATCTGCATTACAGAGAACACTTAAACATAGGACTTGGTTGTAAGCTTACGCAGTTCCAGTAAAGAACATGGACTTTGTTCAGCAAAATCTACTTAGGCATTCTGGGACTACAGCATTCAGCTCTTGTTGGCGGGGGGGGGGGGGGGGGGGGGGGGGGGGGGGGGGGGGGGGGGGGGGGGGGGGGGGGGGGGGGGGGGGGGGGGGGGTGGGGGGGGGGGGGGGGGGGGGGGGGGGGGGGGGGGGTGGGGGGGGGGGGGGTGGTGGGGGGGGGGGGTGGGGGGGGGGGGGGGTGGGGGGGGGAGGGGTGCGTTGGGGTGAGGTGGGTGGGGGGGGGGGAGTGGGTGTGGGCCGGGCTTACCTGAGGATTTAGTTCTCCATTATCTGAGCAAGGGCAGACAACTGAACAACCTTGCAACGGTAGAGAACTGATGATGACTGATTTGTTCTTCTTGTGGTGACACGATAGCTGGTCTTCATTGAGCACAAACCAACGAGCTTTCCACTTCCTGTTTGCATTCTACAGACAAACAAATCATCTATATACAAACACCACTGTAATGAACACTAAAGAATCTTTCAAAACTCTATTTTTAATTTATCCATGTGAAAGAGGTAATTTTGAGGATAAGGTAATAATTTGAAGGTGATGGCATCAGTGGACATAAACAGAAAATGCTCTACACTCTACCAGCTAATGATTATCTCGGTGATGGAGTATGGTCTGGGACTGCTAACAATATCACATACTCACATAGAGAAGCCAGAATGCATATAAAATGAAGCCATGAGAGTCATTTTGGGATGTACATGAGACACGCCAGTTGTTGCATGTGGCACATACTTGTATTGCCATCCTTATATGAGAGATAACAGGATTTACAGGTGAAAATGTACCTTGTAAAGGGTAGGGTATACCTTTTGCATGGGGCCTTAGGAAATAGCAAGGGATAAAGGCTAAAAAGAGGTGGCTCTTAGATGGCACAGGCAGAAGTAACGATCAGAACTATTTGTGCTACTGACAAAATACAGCGTGGTGAAGAATGGTTTACAGTGCCCCCAAGTAGAATAGAGTGACACTTACCTTAGAGGCCATTGGAGGGTGCCGGGAATGAAAATCTGGTGAAACAGAGTCTGTTATGCAACAGCTGACCAATGAAAATCCATGCCCAGGTGACATCATAATGCACACAAATGGGTTTGTAGCCAGGGGTAAGAAGAGTAGGAGGCATTTTATTGCAAAGGTGAATGAACACTGCTTGAAAACAGAGAGCTCACGTATAACGTCACTTAAGTATGAAAATGGAGGTGGGGGCGGTAACGGCAGCTTTCCGGTGGCTTGAGAACAGCACAGCCTCACATGTTCTAATTGTAACAGACTCATTGAGCAAGTTTCAGAAAACTAAAAAGTGTCCTGCGAGCAGAGTTCCCTGCACCACCTGATAAGACACAGATCAAGAGCAAATCTAGGATTTTCTGTCCAGGACACACTCAGGTGTGTGAGACAACGAGCAGGCTGTAAGATTAGCTGCTGCCGCTGCTCTGGACAATGAGCTAGTACATGATAAAGAAGATGTGGTGTGTGCTCTATGGGATCAAATGGACAGTGCAAAAGAACAGATAGGGAATCCATACAATGAAAAACTAATTCAACAGGAAAAAGGAGTAGAGGTTCTGAAAGATATTCAACACTGAAAAGGAAACAGAGGTGGATCTTTATTTAGGTTGCAACTGGTACTATTAGCATGTCAACTCTTCGTTGATTACAAAAGAAGGGGACGGAGCACATATGTTAATGTCCAGAGAGCAGTCATGTTAATTCTGGATTTATTCATAATTTATTCACTAGGTCAATGAGTTTGAAGAATGGAGCTGAATTCATATTACCATGCTTCACCAATGTTTACAGGGGTGGAACTCTCGCACACACAGTGCCCCCCCCCCCCCCCCCCTCCTTTCTATAAAATATCTAACAGACCAACACTTTTCACTATCACATCAGCTACTTTCCGGCTAGATTTTTGCACAACACAGAGAGACTTCCTATTAAAATGGCAGACAACCAGCTGACTGCTAACACTTGTGACGTACTGTTATTTTTTTCCAGCTAAGCTTTGCTGATGCAAATTCTCAATTTCCGAACTGGGAGTCCAAAGGTTTCACCGCCAAGCTACTGATTTGAGTTTTAGATTTCATGTGGAAAGTTTTTTTTTTGTGTGTGTGCCCACAGCAAATTGTTGACTGCACTAAAAGGCAGGCGGCAGATTACTTTCAAAATGGTGTGTACTTTGTGCAATGCTCGCTTTCATGGTTGACCAAATGTGCCAACAGTTAACTGCAATCCTGGTATAGAACCATTAGTGTTGGCATTCTGACAACTGGTATACACATTTTTACTTCTGCATGTGCAACTTTCAAGATTTTCATGGGACTGACATGTTTTCACAAATTTTTAAATAAGACTGACAAGGACATTGTGTGATTCCACTGGCACAGGAACGGCGCACTTACAGGTTGACTGATCTGCAGGGTTGTTGGAAATTCAACAAATTTCATCTGCATGTTAATTATAGCTCCCACAACTCAGTATTTATAGCTTTTTCTTCTAGGCATTTCTAATTCTGAGAAAGGTGCATGATGATAATGACAAGCTTCTAGTTCTATATTACAGTTGAGCAAAGCCTCATTCACAGTGCTACATGTCAGTGTTCTTTTATTTCATTACTCTATTATTTAATCTGAGTAACCCGCTTTAAAGTGCTTCATTATTTTGTGTAAGTCCTTGCCTGCAGTGCTCAACTATTCAATTTGTTAGAATCCACACAAAGATGAATTTTTTTCTTCAAAACTGACCATGGCACCCAGATCAACCCAGTAAAGAAAAACAGGGGAACAAGGTAATATCCTGGGTAGTAAAGGCAGTCAGCGTGATGTTTATAACCTCACTCACTGCCAATAGGTCTATAAAAGTACTGCGTCCACTGCAGTAAAAGTATAACATGCATAAGAAGCAAAATACTCTTTTGGGGTAGGTAAGATCCCAGGTTTGCATGCTGCCTCCTGCTAGCTTATAAAAATATAGCCTGTGATAAATGAGAGTCACAATAAATGAAAGTGAGATTAAATGGTCATGAGCAGGACATGAAAATTCCTTGGGTGAGCCCAGCACCATTTCACCATGTACTGGCCCTGCAATTACGGGCAATGAAAGCTTATGTTCTTCTCCTGCTTTCTCTAAAAGGTGGACCAGAATTACGTGGCTGCTCAAGACTAGCCAGATAGGATGCCATGCTGTGAGAGGGCCCAACACACTGACATCTTAAGATAAACGCAAAAGAGAAAGCATCATATTCTATATGTGCCACTAGCGTAAGAAGGGTCCTTCACTTTACAAACTAGCTCCTCATTTTCAGCACTCCATTATCTCCTGGTTTACAGGGCTCCATTATCTCCTGGTTTACAGGGCTCCATGATCTCCTGATTTACAGGGTTCCATGATCTCCTGATTTACAGGGCTCCATTAACTCCTAATTTACAGGGATCTATTACCTCCTGATTTACAGGGTTCCATTATCTCCTGATTTACAGCACTCCATTAGCTCCTGTTTAACAGCGCTAACTTAGCTCCTGATTTACAGCACTCCATTATTTCAACTGAGTGGCCCCTGGTTTGCAGTACTGTCATTTAAGGAAATATATATTATTTCATTTGTCAATTAGCCCCCGATTTCGCCTTTTTCTTTTTCTACCTTCTATCCCCAAATGGAGCATAGTCCCTGAGCCAACTCGTTCTATCCTTTCCTGAGTTATGAGTTGGATTATCTTGACAGCAGTCCTGACACATCCACAGTTGCTCAGATTCTCCCTTCAACATGTTCATCAGCTTTGCGCGGTCAACAGTGCCAGTCCTAAGCTGGCTGACAAGACCTCCAATGTGCTTCTCATTCTTGGCTGTGAGGATCTTTACTACCAATTTGCATATTCTTAGCAGTGATGTTGACACGTTACTTCCAAACTCCTTGGAACATCCTATCTAAGGGAATTGACAATGTCTGCCTGATGGATGGGCCATCCATCAGCAAACTCATGCGGAGCCTGCCAGTTTATCAGTGCTTTCATTGCCAGCAACACCTGTATGCTCTGGAACGAATATGAAGGTAACTACACAAACAGGTGAGTTTTGCAATGACTCAATTTAGTGTCTGCGTAACAAGCCTGCTTCTACCCGCCAGACCATGCTTAAAGAATAACTCAGCACAAATACAACGGAATAGTCCTGTGATTCTAGCCACATCAAAGCTTGTGTCACTGCTATCACCTCCATCGTCATGCTACTGGTTGTCATGGAGAAGGCACCACTGGCTTCTTGAACTTTTCTGCCTGAACACGAGCTGTAAATGCTCATGCACTCTTATGTCCTCGTATAACTGACCTGTCCGTGAAGATTAGTACATCTGTCTTATCTGACTTGTCATTGACAAGCGCGCATACCTCAGCACTGACACCAAGGGTATTCTGCTCCCTACATCTATTAAGTATGAAGACACAGGAGAATGTGAGATTGGGCGCTTCAGACAATGGTATCCATTCCTCACCAGGATTCTGTAAGACTACAGACCTGCTTGATGTCATCCTCTGCCCTACCCAGCCATGATCTGCACCTTTTTAGTCTATTGCCCTTTTCCATGAAGAGCATGTGGTGAAAAGGTGCTTCAGATCGGAGCTTATCTTGAGGTATGTGTGAGCCTTCCAGATCTTGATCCTATAGTTCATGCAGGGAAGTCAAGCTATTGCATGCAGCTCACCACATGCCTTCCCCATCTTTTTAACTTCATTATCTTGTTCCCTTCTTCTTGTGCTGCTTGGTCTGCCTTTATTTCTAAGACCATTTCGGTTCAAGCGCAAAGCCATTCTAGTTATATGGTTTTCAGGTTTTCTCAATGTGTGCCCTATCCAATGCTAGCATCTTTTCTTCACCTCTTGATCCCCTTGAATTTGTTTCTCTCCCAAAGCTCAACATCAGTGATTCTATTATACCATTTAATGCCCTCTATTCCATGCAGCAACTGGTTAATGAATGTTTTTAATTCAACAGTAACTGTTTTAGATGTTCTCCATGTTTTCCCTAATTATAGTAGCACAGATCTGACAGAAGTTTAGAATTAGTTTTAATTTCTTTTAAAGTAACCCCTTTTTTTTCAATTTAATTGTCAACTGGTTGTACATTAGGTGGCAGACAACTCAGTATTTCTAACTACGTTTTGGCCTTTCTCAAGAATAAAGTTTAGGTGTACACATTTTCTGACATCTGTAACAAAAAACTACAAGAAACAGAAAATGACCAACAATGAAGGTGAAACATTCCTCAGTAGATGCCCTGGCAGATTAAACAGAAGCAGGTAGTGGAGACAAAGGTCAGAGGTCATCACCCAGCTGATATGGGAATGAGATATATTACAGATATATAAAACTAGGTCACAACTTTATGATGTGGAATAAATGACCAGCCCCTTATCTCAC